AGAGGGGCTGCTCCGATCCCTGTCTGGGGGGAGCTGAGGGCAGGCTGCCGTGGAGGGTGCCCCTTGGTACCCATGACAACGAGGCTGGGAACACCAAGGTCCGGCATGCCACGGCCAAGCCCACACCAAGATCTGGCCCAGGCAGCCATTCATGTAGGACCCGGTGATCCAAAGAGCTTGGCCACGGGTTCTGGGGCCTGGGAGGGCAGGGGCTGGGCCAGCTCGTCGGGCCCAGGGGGAAGTCAGGGCTGAGAGCCAGGATAGCAGCTCTTGTTCCTGGTGGCAAGACTGCTCCTCCCTCTCCCCAGATGGCCTGCGAGTACCTGTCGCTGGAGGTGATGGAGCGCTGGATACTGAGTGAGTCATACCCCACCTGGTGGAAGGACCCTCCGGGCCATGGCTGGGCCTGGCACAGACCCCACGGCCTCCGGATGTAGCAGGGGAGGGTTGCATCTTCCAGTGATGCCCATGGGAATCCCTGCCTGCTCTTGGCATCCCCCCATCCAGCCCCATATAGACCCCTCCCTCCACTCTATCCTGCCCGTATACACCCATCCCCACCTCCTGAGATCCACCTATCTCTACCCATCCATCCACACAGCTATAGACTCCAAGGGAACGTCTCCATACTGATATTAATGGGCCTCCCTCTTCTGCCTCGGGGGTCTCTTTCTCTCCAGATGATAATGCCTTGTCCAGGGAGTCACCAGCAGGTGTTTTCATAGTATAAGGCCCCTCGTGTGATGGGCGGGCAGTTGGCAGGGAAGGGTATGACTCACCTCGGCACCTGCCTGGTCCATCGAGCCAATGATCACTACCCGTTGGGCCCAACAATCTTGCCAGCTTTCTATCCACCTTACAATCCATCTATCCAATCCAGACTTCCTTAACTTGCTGGCAAGAATATTGTGGGAGACTGTATCAAAGCTCTGCTAGAGTCAAGGTATATCACAGCCACTGACTTTGCCACGTCCACAGAGCCAGTTACCTCATCACAGGAGCTAATCAGAGTGGTCAGGCACGACTTGCCCTTGGTGAATCCATATTGACTATTTCTGATCACTTTCCCTGCTTCCAAGTGCTTGAAAATGGATTCCTTGAGGATCCCTGCCATGATTTTTCCAGGGACTGAGGTGAGGCTGACTGGTCTGTAGTTCCCTGGATTGTCCTTCTTCCCTTTTTAAAAGGCGGGCACTGCATTTGCCTTTTTCCAATCATCTGGGATCTCTCCCAATCTCCATGAGTTTTCAAAGGTAATGGCCAAAGGCTCTGCAATGACATTTGCCAACTCCCTCAGTACCCTCGGATGCATTAAATCCGGGCCCATGAATTTGTGCATGTCTAGCTTTTCGAAATAGTTCTTAACCTGTTCTTTGTCCACCGAGGGCTGCCCACCTCCTTCCCACACTGCGTTGTCTAGTGCAGCAGTCTGGGAGCTGACCTTGTCTGTGAAGACAGAGGCAAAAAAACCATTGAGTACGTCAGCTTTTCCCACATCATCTGTCACTAGGTTACCTCCCTCATCCAGTAAGGGCCCCACACCCTCTCGGATCACCCTGTAGAAACCTTTCTTGTTCCCCTTCACATCCCTTGCTAGCTGCAATTCCAATTGTGCTTTCGCCTTCCTGATTACTCCCCTGTATTCTGGAGCAATACATTTATACTTCTCCCTAGTCACCTGTTCAAGTTTCCACGTCTTATAAGCTTCCTTTCTGTTTTTAAGCTCACCAAGGATTTCCCAGCTAAGTCAAGCTGGTCACCTGCCATACTGCTGATAGGAGCTGAAGGCTGCTCTCAAATCCCCCCTCTCTCTTCGCTTCTGCAGGCTAAATAAGCCCAAATCCCTCAGCCTCTCCTCATAGGCCATGTGCTCCAGCCCCTCATCATTTTGGTTGCCCTAGTTCTGCTGGAAGGCTCCTGCTAATGTCCTCCCCTCTGCCCCTCCCTGCAGTCGGCTTCCTGCTGTGCCACGGCTGCCTGAGCTCTGGCCCACAGTGCCTGGAGCTGTGGAGGCTGGGCCTGAAGGGCTCGCTCTACATCACCCTCATCCGGGATGAAGCCCTACAGATCCACAAGGTCTCCGAGGAGCTCTTTGGCAGCCTGAAAGGGTAACGGGGTAGCAGGGGGCTTCGGTGCTGCAGGGGACATTGGGGGTGTGAGGGTGGGAGCTGACACATGCATGGAGAATGGCTGCTGGGGGCAAGTCAGGTGTGTGTGTGGGGTGAAAGGCAGGGGCAGGAGCAGTTGGTGGGGGCATGTGGGGGGGGGGCAGTGTTTCCTCTTAATTTTTTCCATCCATGGGCAAAATAATCATTGTTACGTGCACCAAGGCAAGTGCGGATGTTCACCACCAATAGAAACACATGCTACCTGCTTTGGGCAGCTGTGGGCGCTCAGCTAATCAGCTGGGCTGCACCTGAATCTCTCCTGGGTGGCCACCCAAGTGTTCAGTTTCCAGGGAACACCGGTGTGGGAGGGCGAGCGGCTAGCACAGGGCGGAGGGTGGCTGCTGAGGGCAGGGTAGCTGGCAGGGCAAGTGGATGGTAGGGGTCGGAGGGGAAGGACAAGGAGAGCTCTATGGGACTAGTTCAGCATCCCAGGATTGGTGCCACATCTCAGCTTTGGGACAGGCCTTGGAGGGACTCCTGTGATGTGCTGGGCACCCCTCACCGGTTCCAGCTATGGCCCCTGGAGCTCATCACTGGACTGACCAGAAGGGGCAGCACAGGCTGATCTGGCCAGCCCCGGACCTGGGGAACCTCTTTTTCAGGCCTTGTGTTTCCCTCTCTGACTTCCTCACATCCTCCCTCTCCAGTGCTAGGGGTTCCTTCCTGCAGCCCAGACTCCCATGCCCTCGCCACACCCCCCATCTAGACCTGGTCTCCAGCTGCGTTCCTCCTCCCGCTGGGCCCAGCTGTCCCTGTGCTGGCGGCTGGGGTTTCCCCTGCTTCCTCAGACTTTCCAGCCAGATGGGGCATCCTCAGCCAGCCGTGTAGTCACCCATTCAGGCTCAGACAGCTAGACAGCACCTGCCTTCCCCACCCCCCGACTCTTAGCCAGCCCTTATCCCTTAGCCAGTACACTTATCCCTCATCCTCCCCACGGGATAGCAATGCATTGGGGAAACTGAGGCACACGTCGGCTTCAAGAAAATATTACTGAAAATTCTGTTCTGGAGTCCGGTGGGTTGGCTGAGCTGCGCTGGGGTGAGGGGACGGGAGAGGAGCTCTCACAGCAGGCTGGGGGCTCCCCTGCCAGTAAGCGCTCACTCTGACCACCTTTGCAGGTATGGGAAGCGGGTGGCGGAGGTCAAGGAGTGCAAGGAGCAAGCTGTGGCAAACAGGTACAGGCTGCCTGGTCCCTGCGCCCGCCCATCCCCATTCTCACCTGGGTCATCCATGGGGCTGGGGATTTAGTGCTCATGGCAGGTGGGTCCCGCTGGCACTGGCCAGTGCCCTTTACAGTGTGGGCAGGGCCTGTATAAAGGCTCTGAACTAGCACCTCTTGTAACACATGGCACTGGGTGCTGCTCCACCCCTGCCCAGCCAGTGCCCCTCCTCCCAAGCCACAGCCCCTGCCAGCCCTGCCCTGGGCTCCCCTCCCCCCAGTTCAACATGTGCCCCTCACTCCCCACCGCCCCTGCTGTGGCCCACCAGGATGAGAGATTTGCCCCGGATGCTACAGCCCCACGCAAGACCCTACATGGCTGTGGGATGGCAGGGGGCTTGCCCTGCTGCAGCTGCATCCAGGGTGGAGA